GGATGGAGGAAGGTTGGGGAGGATGGAGGAAGGTTGGGGAGGATGGAGGAAGGTTGGGGAGGATGGAGGAAGGTTGGGAGGATGGAGGAAGGTTGGGAGGATGGAGGAAGGTTGGGAGGATGGAGGAAGGTTGAAGAGGATGGAGGAAGGTTGAAGAGGATGGAGGAAGGTTGGGAGGGTGGAGGAAGGTTGGGGAGGGTGGAGGAAGGTTGGGGAGGGTGGAGGAAGGTGGGGAGGATGGAGGAAGGTGGGGAGGATGAATTTACTAAAGGGCAGGAAGAGGGCCTTTAGGTTTGAATGCAGTGCTTCAGAGCACCACCCTCGTCATCTTACTGCAGTGCCCACAGAAACCAAACCCACTGTCATGGAGTCGATTCTGACTCATGGCGACCCTACAGCACAGAGTACAACTGTCCCCATAGGGTTTCTAAGGCTATAATCTTCTTGGAAGCAGACTGCCTCATCTTTCTCCCACAGAGCAACTGGTGGGTTCAGACTGCCAACTTTTTGGTTAGCAGTTGAGTAGTTTAACCACTGTACCACCAGCACTCCTCTGTAATGCCTCTGTAAACCTAAGACTCAGTGCTGATTTGATTCTCTTATTTGGTAACCACCGTGAGTTGCCTTGTGCCTCCTTTGAGTTTGCATTCTACCTCCATTAGTAGTGACATCTGGGATCTTCAGACCAGGGAGGTGGCAGTGATCGTGTTCTTGGTACACTTGTTACCATTCAGCTTTTTAACCCAGTGGTCTTATTTTCTTGTCCCTGTTTTATGCCCAGTAAAGTACATGCACTACAAAGTGGGAGGCTGGTATCTGTGCCATGAACCCCTCATCCTTACATGCCGGTGTTTGACAGTGAAGAGAGTGAAGAAGCTCTTTCTGAGAACATACAGAGATGAGCAAGAATGGTGTAGGCACAGAGCACCCACCCACAGGCCAAGTCTGACCCCTGCATTGGCTTTGTTAGACCCATGCTAGTTTAAAACAAAACAAAAAGTTTTTAATGGAGTGCCAGCACTGCAAATAAAAATCCAAATTCCGGCCTTGTCTTGGAAAATTAAATTTGTAGGGTATAGCAACCCTGGTCATGGCTGAATGGCAAAACTGGCCTTTGGTCAGGGCATGTGGCTATTCCCGTGTTTCCTTCTGCTCAAGTTCCCCTTGCCATCCTGGCCCATTCAGATGTTTGAGTGGAGGCCCTGGAGAAGGGGCTGGATTTTGAAAGAGCTTTCTCCTCTAGGCCATGCTGCCCTCTGTGTTTTTAGAACTTTCAGGGGCTGGCTGGCCAGCGAGTTCTCCTTCCATCCACTTGCCTGGCGACCATGTATTAGACTTTCCGCTTTCCTGGTCAGCATGAGTGAGAGCTGGGCGGGCTCATTCTGCACACCTCCCAAATGAGAAGACCCTGCTGCAGAGACCAGCCAGGCCCCTCTGGTCTAGGCAGGGCCTGTCCCCTGTATCATGCTGTAGCTTTTCCTTTTCCAGTTCCACTTCCTGGTGGTAAACTGGGCTTTAATGGGTGGGGACAAGTGGAAACCACCCCATCTCCACACTTTCCACAGCCTTGGGAAGCACATGAGAAAGGGCACTTAAGCCTGCTCCTCCTCAAGTAGGTAGCGTGTCTCTCTGACGACTCCTCGTTCTGCCCATGAGGACTGGAGGGCTCATTAGTGATGATGTCAGAGGCCCATATGGGATCCCACCAGACCCCTGTGCAGCCCCGGGATTCTGGTCCCTGTGTCATGAGAGCTCAGCCTCTTGGAAATCTGCCTGGGTGGACCCAGCGCCCTCCTCACTGAGCCATGCTTTCCACTCTCCTATCCATGACTGCAGTTGTTAGAAAAATACACCCATTCTATAATCATACGAGCAAAAGTCACAGAGGACTCTGCTCAAGAAGCCCAATCCCAGCGTCCACACCAGTTCCCTGGTTTCTTCCTTCTGGCCCATGCAGTTTGTTTCCCCCTAAGGCCTCATAGTCTTCACACCCAGGACTAGAGAAATAAGGGTATGTGTGGGCCTCAGTCCAACAAGAGCCAGTGAGTGTCCCGCTCTTGAGAGAACACCCCCATCCTGCCCCAGAGCCCTGATTGACCACCACTGGCTCCAGTCTCATCTGCTGGCAGGAAGGTGCAGATCACTGGGCTCAAGACAGGAAGCCTTGTTCTCGTTTCCATCCCTGCCTAATGGCGAGGCCTTGGAAAATGTGTGCCTCAGTCTGTCACTCAGAGGTCCTGGCACAGTGGTGTCAGGACCTGCCAAGCCTAGAATTCTCAGACCGTGATAGAGCTACTCCTTGTCCGGTGCTTTTGAGGGAGAGTCTAGTGGAACTCTTAGGAGCTGATGTATGCTGGATAGTCTCTAACTGCTGACTGGTTGAACTCTGGTAGCATAGTGCCTAAGGCATTTGACTGCTAACCAGAAGGTTGGCAGTTCGAACCCACCAGCCACTCCTTGGAAGGAAGATGAGGCAATCTATTTCCGTACTGATAGTGCTTTGGCAGCCCAAGGGGAGGGGTCGCTGTGAGTCAAAATCGACTTGACGGCAGTGAGTTTGGTTTTGGTTTTTCATATTTGCAGAAAATTGAGTAACAGAGACCCCACTGGTCCTATAGTCCTTCAAGCTTTTCTTCCTCTGGGAGGGCCCAAGTGCGTGAGACCCAACAGAATGAGTCAGGCCATGATGGCCGGGCCAATAGGAGATGCCTCCGTCTATGCAGGGAGCTCCTGCTCTGTGTGGACAGCAGCAGCGAGTCAGGTCTGTGCGCTCATGGGACTTCCCTTCCAGTCAGAGGGAGAGACTGTGTGAGTAAACGGTGACACCGATACAGTGGCGTCAGGCTGACTGAATGCACATGACTGCAGAGGAGTGGCAGGCGCACAGTGGGGCTGAGAACTTCCTGTTGAGGAGTCCAACGTGCAAAGATTGGTGCTTTACAAGAAATGGGAATGGCAAGTGCAGAGTCCCCACGGGGGGAATGACTTGGCATTTTCAAGAAAAGTAAGGCTTGTGAGGCTGGAGTGTGGAGAGCAAGGGGTAGAGACCAGAATGATGGCCAAGGTGCAGCCCTTGGGGTCTTTGTTGGTCATAGGCAGGACTGATCCAAGTGCAGAGGGAAGCCATGGGAGTTTCTAAAGTAGGGAAATGTGTGTGTTCTGATTTACATATAAAAGGAGTCCCTTGGCAGCTGTGGAGAATGGAAAGGGCCAGGCAGGAAGTGACCCATACAGAAACAGGGAGACCAGTGAGCTGGAGGCTGAGCATGTGGTTCAGGTGTGAGATGACGTGGCATGGACTCAGTGGTGACGATGTGGGCACAGGGAGTGGACGCCAGCAGTGGATCTTCTCAGGGGCTTAGGGAGAGGGGATCCTGGGTTTTCACCCAGACAGAGAGTGTTGAGAACAAACAGCCTGCCTTTCTCTCAAGTCGCCCAACCTTCTCTGTGGTCTCTGAAAGTGTGACGTGATGGTGGGAGCGATGCCTGAGGGTCAGGATTTCTGGGTACCTACCCCTCTCCAGGTGTCAGCTGCCTCCTTGTACGTGCAGCCTTGTAAGAACCACCTCTGTTGTTTGTACACACGTCCTGGCTCACCCGTGACCCCACTGTGTTGCAGACTTTCCGCATATACCGGGAGTACAAGGAGCAGATTCTCGTCAAGGCCTTCATGGAGTGCCAGAAAAGGAGCCTGGTCAACCGGCGCCGGGTCAATCACAGCCTGGGCCCGAAGAAGAACCGGGCTCTGCCCTTCGTGCCAATGTCCTACCAGTTATCCCAGACCTACTACAGGTGAGGCCTGTCAGCCGTCCTGCTGGGCTGGGTGGGGGCAGTGACCCAGGTCAGGGTGAGCCCTGCCTCTGCAGAGAGGCACACGAGGACACCAGCAGGAGCCACTCTGCATCAGAGGAGGTGGGGACCTCTGTTCCTGCGTCTGCGTGTGCAGGTGTGGCCTCTGTGAGAACACCCATCCCTCTGCCTTGTTGGGAATGAGGTTGACAGTATTTTGTGTTAGGGATGTTTACTATTTACAGGTAATTTCTTTCCCTTTATCCTGTCAAATTGGGTGACGTTGGTTTTCAATTTAACAATTGGTCCAAAGTGCATCCTCCTTGTGAGGACAGCAGCAGCCGTGATCGTCATGGCCCCGAGGTATGGAAGTCTCCTGTCGTGCAGGCTCACACACTTCATTTTCAGCTGTTGTGGATTTTCCAGGCTGTTTGCAGCACAGCAGTGTCTGAGTGGCAGGTCGAGCTTCCAAGGCACGTTCCCTGAACCACCTTCCTGGGGCTCCCCCTAAAGGAGCTCTGCTGAAGCCTGGCTTCACGCCACAGCGGGGGGCTGTTCTGTTCTTGCACATTTGGCACCTTCCTCACTGGGCTTCGAGACCACATGCAGGGGAAGTCCATTAGCATCGTCCCAAGGAGTTCCTCCTGCCTGTCCAGCTTCCCCGTCTCCACACTGGTCTCCTGACCCAGTCTCAGATCTGAGAATTTTGTTTCTTTTTTCCCATTTCTTTGCCCATGACTTCAGACACTTCTTCCTTTCCTAAATGCCCTTCCCTGTGACCCTCGGTCTCTTTTGGCTTTCTGGAAAGCAGCCTGTTATAGTAAGAGCTGTGAACTTGAAAGCAGAGGTGAGTCCAGGTCCAATAAGTCTGCTTGACCTTGAACTGCTTCCCTGGGACGCACATCATTTGAACCACAAGCGTGGTCAACAGAGCCAGAACCCCTCAGTCCCTTCTCTGACCTCCAGGTCCCTCTTCTCTCTGTTGTTCAGGTTCATGACAGTTATATTTACTGTGGACAGAGGCCAGGGCTTCCTCCCTGCAGCTGCCTTATCCAGGTAGTGAGGTCTGCATGGGGCCTCCAACAGTGGTTGGTTTCAAGATGATTATGATGAAAGCGCATTTGTGCTCCCCAGCTCCACAGGGGCTGGGCCTCAGGGATGTAAGATGAAAAGGTACGGCCCTGTCTTGAGGCTATTCTTAAAAAGTTTTCCAGTAATGTATCAAGACAGTCTCACTGCTATTCATAAGGTTTTCACTGGCCAATTCTTTGATATGTAAACAGCCCCTTTCTTCCTCCGAGTCTGTCTTAGTCTGGAAGCTCTGTTGAAACCTGTCCACCATGGGTGACCCTGCTATGCCAGTGGCATAACCTCCAGCGTCACAGCAACACACAGGCCACCATAGTAGGACAGACTGACAGATGAGTGGTGGATTGTGGTGCTGGCCCAGGACTGGGCAGTGTTCCATCCTGTTGTACGTAACGTCACTGTGAGTCGGAGCTGACTCGACCGTACCTCACAACAACTGCCTTGAGGTGCTCCAGCGAGTGGGGAAGAAGGACACACACAGGGGGCATCACAGCCCCTTTGTTTGAGCCAGACGGGAGAAACGGTGTGTCTAGATTTGACTGTGATGCTTTGGAGTGCTGGTAGCTTGGTCAGACTTGCCGTTCCGTGCTCAGTCAGGCCCTTCCCTGTTTGTTGTCTGCGCAGGATTTTTACCTGGCGATTTCCAAGCACCGTCTGCACAGAATCATTCCAGTTCTTCAAGAGAATGCTGGCTGCTGGCAAGTCAGACCAGCCAAACCACTTTGCCTTCAAAGACCAGGATAATACCGACTCCACAGATGACATGGTGGTGTTTTCTTTGGACTGCCCTGGGGGACATTGTGTGGCAGCCCTAACCCTTCTGTCTCTGGGCCTTGTTTCCGTGGATGTCAAGATCCCAGAGCAGATTGTGGTGGTGGACAGTTCAATGGTGGAAAACGACGTCATTAAGAGGTAAGAACCCAGGGAAAGCTACAGCTCCGACACTGGGCGCCATGCACCCTGCCTGGAGCCAGTTTGAGATTGGTAGCACTCACAGAGCCTTGGGCATCGGCCTTTCCTCTCAGTACTGTGACAGTGGTGATGCTGTATGTCCAGTCATCTGGCTTTGTTCTTGCAACAAGCCACTTACTGTACTTTTTGGCTTTATGTTTGGCCCTCGGCTGGGAATTGACTTGCATAGGTATAGGCAGTGCCTTTAGGAAGCTCACAGGGGCAAGACTCACAGACAGGTAAACTAGGAATTACAGTGTGCAGGTTGGCGTGGTAGTGCCTCCAAGTGCTATGTAAATCAAGGAGGAGGTGGCTTGGGCTGCCAAAGGGAAGGACATGGCAGGGAGTGTCTCTTAGGTTGGATTCTCTAGAGCAGAACCAGTGAAGAGTATGTGTGTGTGTATGTGTGTGTGTGTAAACACAGAGGAATTTATTTCGGAAAAATGACTCGCACAGTTGAAGAGGCTGGCAAGTCCCAAATCTGTGTGCTGGGTATCAGGCTGGAGACTTTTCCTGACTAACATGGTTGTAGGGGCTGACATACTCAAAATCAGCAGGTCAGGTAAACGGCTGCTGGCTCCTCCCCCAAGAACCAGAGATTAGAGGATGACGAGTCAGGTGCAAGATTTT